ATATAGAGTAAAGCTTCCTCTACACTGTCCCCCATCAAACACTCCCAATACAGGGACAGCACGGGGTTAGATACAGAGAACAACTCCTTTCCTCAATAAAAACCGAAAGAACTGTGGATGCTGTAAATCAGAAACAAAAACAGAAATTGCTGGAAAAGCTCAGCAGGTCTGTGGAGAGAAATCAAAGTCAATGTTTCTCAGAACCGAGGAGCAATTCTGAGAAATGGTCACTCCGATTTCTCTCCATAGATGCTTCCAGGCCTGCTGAACTTATCCAGTAATTTCTATTTTTAACTTCCTTTGCTCATTTGGACACACGTCAGGTGCACGATTTAGCCCCCTCAGGTCCTTTCAGTTTCGGTGGGTGGAATATTTTTACGGTGAGTTACTACAGATGTGGGAAGGGGAGTCGGTCGCTCGGACCTTCAGTGCAGCTGATTAGAAGTCTACAGCTATCTGAGAAACTGCACTCGATTTAACGAAGATCAGCGGAGAGTGAGGTGAGAGAGCTGTTGTTCACAGTTTCCTTCCTTATTTGAATGTTCCTTATTTGAGTGTGTGTTGGGTCAGTTACAGAGTGCCTATAACTGTGTTTATAGCCGCTCTGTCCGAAACGTCAGCCTTTCCTGCTCCTCTGATGCTGCTTGGCCTGCTGTGTTCATCCAGCTCGACACCTTGTTATCTCAGATTCTCCAGCATCTGCAGTTCCCACTAACTCAGATGCTCATTGCCTGGCACTCAATCTGAGCTTGACCGCTGCTTGTCATCCTCTGAGATCAGTATAATTCAGATCAGTAGTTTCGTTTCTGCACTGGCGGAGCGAGGATGCCTTTAAATTTAAAAAAAGAGTCCGAAACATTACAGGAACTGAAATAACAAGCTGAAAGTGAAACAATCTGCGACAGAGAGCGAGCAGAGTCCAGAGAGAGAGAGAGAGCGAGCAATTCCATTTCAGCAGGTAAGACTGATCTATTTGCTTTTGTGGGATTTCAGTAGCGTCTTGTTTGTTAGGTTTAGGGGTTCCTGATTTGTGGCCAGCTCCGTGAGAGATCATTTCTACTGATTCACCAAACACTCAGTAGTTGCTGCTGTTAACAAACAAGGCAGCTGTTATCTGGTATGGCGCAGAACTGACTCCAGAAATTAGCTGTCCCATCTGTTGGTGCCAACCAGCACAGAATCTAAAGACCAGTAGGACACTATTTGGCCCATCGTGTCTGTGCGTTGGCTGTTGGAAAGAGTTGTTAAGTTAGTCCCACCATCCTGAATACCACCCCCCAACCCTCCTCCTCCAGGATGGCCTTGCAAGTGACAGGCACTTGTCATTTTTAATATGATGACAGAAAAGACAAAGTCACCCTCACTACTCCTTCATTACTGTTTGGGGTTTAACCTGAGGGCCACCACGCCTCAGGTGAGGGGAAGAGGTTGAGAAGGACAGTCTTTCACGGTAACGTCAGGGAGTGTGGGAATCGAACCCACCCTGTTGGCAGCACCCCACATTGTGGACCAACCATTCAGCCAACCAACCCTGGATATTAGAAATTGAGGGCTTAAGTGTGCCCGTGGGCCGACGCATGCAGATCTTGGGCATTCGAAGGGGTAGTGCTTCCACCTCTTGAGGCAGAGGTTCATGCAGCTGTCGTTCCCAGAGAGGTCTATGCACATTGCAGCCAAAGAGGTCGAGCAGCAATTTGTAACTCCTTCCAACTCCAGCGCTGGGAGCCAGCGATATTCCTCGTCAGCGACTTGTGGGGAAAAATGTTGAGGTGTCATTATCATAGCTCCAGAGTATAGTGTGCGTCGTTGCTCCTGTAACTGGAGTGAACTGGAACTCATGGAAGATTATCAAAACATCGTCTCTCAACTGAGGAGGTTCACTACTGTTGGTTCCAGGTTGGCAAATGAGGAGAGATTGAGTAGATTGGGACTATACTCATGATAATTTGGAAGAATGAGGGGGGTGATCTTGTAGAAACATATAAAATTATGAAGGGAAGAGATCAGGTAGAAGCAGGGAGGAGGTTGTTTCCACTAGCAGGTGAAACTAGAACTAGGGAGTATAGCCTCAAAATAAAGGGGGAGCAGATTTAGGACTGAGTTGAGGAGGAACTTCTTCACTCAAAGGGTTGTGAACCTGTGGAATTCCCTGCCCAGTGAAGCAGTTGAGGCTACCTCGTTGAATGTTTTTAAGGAAAATTAGGTAGATAGATGTTTTGAACAATAAAGGGTTAGGGTGAGTGGGTGGGTAAGTGAAGCCTGGGGCCTCTAAAAATCAGCCATGAGCTTATTGAATGGCAGAGCAGGTTAGATGGGCCAGATGACCCCCTCCTGCTCCTGTTTTTCTTATGTTCTTTTCTACTTTGTTCCCTCATCATACTCTGGAGCGACTTGTCACGATCTCCTGGAGACAAGACGCTGGAGATATTGGTGAAGGTAGCTGGTGGGATGACACAGTGAGATGTGTAGGGTGAGGAGAGTTTTGGTGATGTTGGATAGGTTCACCACAATTTGGGGGTCATACTCCTGCTTCCTTTTTGTTGTTTATCACCTGCTGTGTTGGGGGGTGACCTGTACCTGTTTACGTGTTTGAAAGACACAAAACAGCCGACAAGGATTAAAACAAAATGGGTCAGCCTGCTCTTAACATTTAAGTGAAACATAACGGTACCTTTGAACAAGACTACACCTAGGTCAGCAAAAGAGCCCGACTACAAACCATCCGAGACAGTTTTGATAAGAGATAGTAAGAACTGCCCATGCTGGAGTCAGAGATAACACAGTGTGTGGAGCTGGAGGAACACAGCAGGCCAGGCAGCATCAGAGGAGCAGGAAAGCTGACGTTTTGGGTCGGGACGCTTCTTCAGCTAGTTTTGATAAAAGAATGCCTAAGAACAGACAAGTCATTAATTTAAAAGGGTCCCGACCTGAAACGTCAACTTTCCTGCTCCTCTGATGCTGCCTGGCCTGCTGTGTTCACCAGCTCTACACTGTTAGCAAGTGATTAATTCCAGCCTCATTAATGAAAAGATGATTGTCCCAGTAAATAATAATGCCAGATACAGGTCTCAGACCATGAACCAGCCAGATTAACTCTGTATCAGCTAAAATTTTTCTGATGAAGGGTCTAGGCCCGAAACGTCAGCCTTCCTGCTCCTATGAAGCTGCTTGGCCTGCTGTGTTCCTCCAGTCCGACACTGTGTTATCTCAGAATCCAGCATCGGCAGTTCTTACTATCTCTGAGTGTGTCATCGATTTGTCTTCCGATCTGAGCCAAAGATTAAGGGAAAAATTGCGTTCTCACATCAATTCACGGAAGATCCTTTGGCCGTTTCCCTGCATTAATTGGTTTCTGCTTGAATGAACATCTTCCATTTGTCTGAATCCTGTCTGCCTCCTAAGTCCTTTGTCCCTGGTTGGGGGGCTGGGGCAGGCTCCTGCACGCTGCTTGTGGCCTTGCCTAGAATAGCTGTCAGCGATACAGCACTTGTGGGCAAGCCACCTTCTCGAACCTCGGCATGTGGTGCAGGGGCCGTTCACAGAAGTGTTAAAGTACAGAAGGAGGCCATTCAGCCCATTGTTCCTACACCAGCCCTCCAAATCAGCATCGTGACCTAGTCACAATGACCTAGACCCAATCTCCGACTCTTCTCCTATATCCTTGCACATTATTTTTATCCAACTAATTGCCCAATGCTGCCTCAGATCCTCAATTGAAAGATTTCCAAGATTTTGACTGAGTGGAGGAATGGCAACATTTATTCCAAGTGTAGCTTGGAATAGAACTTTCAGATGGTGGCCTTGTTCCATTCGTGTTAGGCCCTGATCCTTGTGTATGGTTGAGATGAAGCAAAGTTGATAAATGGAGTTAAAGGAGTTGGAGGAAATTGACAAGCAGAGCGAATTCAAGGAACTGAATGGCTTCCTCTTGATCCTTCTTCAAAACAAACTGGAGGCTTTCCATCCTGGTGACAATTTCCAAAAGCACCGCCTCCTCTTTGGAGTGTCCACTTCTACGATGGGAGCTGGAATTCTGAGGCAGGTGATGTTACCTGGCCAATGGTTAACCCTTCTCCAGCAGGTCCCTACCCCCTCACCTTCCCAATCGCTCACTTTACCAACTTAACTAGCTTTTGTGACTGGATGGGGTGAAGCCCATCATTTGCTCTTTGAAATCATGTTGTCTTTGCCTTAAGAACGAAACCACATCAGATCTCATAGTCTTGTGTCATGGTTGCCATTTACACCCAGGACAACCCTCTCATGCCCTCTTCTTTCCAAACCCTGGACTACTTGATGTCTGTTCCACCATCCAGCGAGATCCTATGCTTGCCTTTTCTCCCCCCTTCAATCTCCTCCACCAACCTCAGATTTGTAATTAACAAACCGCATACCTCCTTCAAAATGGCATCCTGGGCCCAACCATCTTCAGCTGCTTCATCAATGACCTTCCCACAATCATTAGGTCAGAAGTGGGGATGTTCGCCGATGGTTGCACAATGTTCAGCACCATTCGCAACTCCTCAGATACTGAAGCAGTCCGTGTCCAAATACAGGAAGACCTGCAAAATACTCAGGTTTGATCTGGTGACCAGCAGGTGTTATTCAAGCCACACAAGTACTAGGTAAAGACCTGTTAGGGAACAGGAGAAAATTTAATCATCTCCCCTTGACCTTCAGTAGTACCTTCCAGAATGAATCCCTCCCTATCAACAACTTGGGGTTACCATTGATTTAAGTTGAACTGGACCACCCTTACATATGCTACAGGTACAAGTCAGAGGCTTGGTATTCTACAGAGTTGCTTACCCCCTGACTCCACAGAAACCTGCCCACTGTAGGCAAGGCACAAGTCAGGAATGTGACGGAAAACGCCCCCACTTGCCCTGGATGGGCACAGCTCCAACAACACTCAGGAAGATTGACAGAATTCAGGCTCAGTTTATTGACATTCCATCCACGCTCTTAAACATTCAATCTCCACGCTACCAAATCACAGCAGCAACAGTGTGTGCCATCCAGAAGATGCACTACACTAACTCACCGAGAATCTTTGAATAGCACCTTCCAAACTGTTGACCTCTATGACCTAAAAGGACATGTTAGCAGATGGATGGGAAGACCAGCACTACTTGCAGGCTGCCTTTCAAACCAAAGTAACATCCTAAGTTGGAAATATTTCAGTATTAATTGTGTCTATGGGTCAACAGCTTGGATTTCTTTACTCCAACACCCCACTCCCCCCGCCTCCTACTTATACCCAGGGACTACAGCAGTGCAAGGAAACTCTACTGTGTTCACACGGGTCATTAAGTGTGGGCAATAAATGATGACTCAGTCAGGAACATCCACGTCCTGTGAAAAGATCATTTTAATAAAGATTCTCAGGGGGTTTGAAAAAGCAGATGCAGGGAGGATGTTTCACCAGCAGGGAATCCAGAACTTTGAAGCATAGTTCAAAAATTGGGATGTTTCATTTGAGATAGAGGTGACGTGCCAAAAGTTTATGATATATTGTCGTCGTTTGGGGACTTGCGTTGCAAAGCCGAGTTAAATAGATTTCCAGTTTTTGGGGTGGTGAAGGTTGGTTCTCTTTTTTTTAAAGAAAGGGTCAGAAAGTCTTTTGGAACAGGGAGAAATTCCGAGAATTCACGGGACTTAAGCAAAATGATTCGACACGTGAGTGAATGCTGTGGAACGTCATGGACTGGGTGGTCAGAGTCTATCCGCGTGGAGACGGTCATCGGCTGGCACTTGGAGTGGCGTGGAAGTTACCCAGCGCTGACCAGCCCGAGTCTGGACGTTGTCACAGACAACTTCAGCATCAAAGGTCTCACAAATGGAAGCGTGCTGATTCGTTTTGAAGTTATGCTGTGTGCAATGCCTTTAACCCGAGTCTCTGGTTTCCTCCAGGTCCTGCCGCTCCAGGCTGGAGCCTCTCTGCTCACCCGTCAGTGGAAATGGCCCAGTACCTGAGTGATGATGAGGTTGGAGGAGAGAGGAAGAGCGAGCTTGGCGTTGAGTTAACATGCGGAGTCTGCATGGGAATCTATCGGGAGCCTGTGCGTCTGCCCTGTGAGCACAGCTTTTGCAAAGTCTGCATTGACCAGGTCTTTGCAGGTGTGGAGCCAGGGTCAGATTACCGTTGCCCCATCTGCAGGCAGTCCTACCAGAACAAGCCAAAGATAACCAAGCACCTGGCCCTGGTCAGGCTAGCAGAGGCCTACAACAAGATGATGAACAATAAACAGTGTCCTGCGTCCTTGGGTAAGATGCCATTCTTTCATGTGCCTCCTCACCTTTTTTGCATAACTACATTATACAGAATAGCTCAGTGGTAATTTTCACCCCAGCTTTGAGAACAAGAGTTCAGAGGTTTGAAACCCTCGTAGGTGACTACAGCAAATATCTCTGCCCATTTCTCCCAGTGTTAGTACTGAGGGAGCGGTGCACTGTAGACGGTCAGCGCTGAGGGAGTGCGGCACTGTCGGAGGGTCAGTGCTGAGGGAGTGCCGCACTGTCGGAGGGTCAGTACTGAGGGAGAGCCGCACTGTCGGAGGGTCAGTACTGGAGCCTTTGTGTGTGTGTTCTGGTGAAGAGGTGAGTCATTTATGCTTGGAGGAATGGGAGCTCCTCTGCCCCTTGTGTTTTGTTAACTGCATTGACAGAAAATGCTCTTCTGTCTCTGTCTCATTCTCTGCAGAGGAGGTGGAGGATTCACACACAGCTGCTGCAAACAACCTGGGAGGGAGAGCCTGTCGGATTCACTCTGAGGAAGAGGTGACTCATCTGTGCTTCAAGGAATGGGAGCTCCTGTGCCCCTTGTGCATATCGAGTAATCAACACGAGGGTCACACTGCCACACCATTGGTTCAGGTCACCAAAGACTGGAAGGTAAGGCAACCTGGGCAGACTGGCAGCTGGGTACCATCTAGGGGCTGGCACTAGGAGTATCTGGCAGGAAACACTCAACAATGGAAATGCTGGACACCATGGGGTGAATATTGACATCAGTGATGGCCTGATGAGACATTAACAGCCTCAGGCCCGGATGAGGTGATGTTGGGGCATTCGTGTTGCTATAACATTAATGCTTTGGCATGGATGCATTGCTGTACAGGGTCACCCCTTCCCCAGAGTGAATTTGGGCAGGCTCTTCCTCCCAGGCTGTTTGCAGCAGCTGTGTGTGAATCCTCCATCCTTCTCTGCAGAGAGAGAGAGACAGAAGAGCATTTTCTGTCAATGCCGTTAACAAAACACGGTTAAGGTTAACAATAGACACAAAGGCTTCAGCACTGACCCTCTGACAGTGTGGCGCTCCCTCAGCACTGACCCTCCAACAGTGTGGCGCTCCCTCAGCGCTGACCTTCCAACAGTGCAGCAATCCCTCAGCACTGAACCTAAATTGTGTGGTCAGTGTTTTTGGGATTGGCATTCTCACTGTCTTAGCTGCATTTGTGCAACATCTGTGCTGCAATTAATGCTACATCGGTGCTGCATTCATTCTACATCTTACTGCATTCGTGTTATGCCGATGCTGCATGGGTGCACAGTGCATGCAGCGTTAGTTTTGTTTTTCTGCATTTTGCTGGTGTTAGGATGGGTTTATATTTGTGCTACTTTAACTGCAGTGCCTTCTTGCATTTCAATTGGAGTCTGCTTTGCCCTAGTGCAGAATACAGGGATCGGTGCAGTTTGTGTAGAGTACGGGGATCGGAGTTCACTTGTTTGACCCTGGAATGATAACGGTCGAAATAATACTAACACAAACTGTTGCCTCATAAAATCAAAGTCTTCCCTTCTCTCTCTGAGCAGAAAATGGTGCCAAATATTGTCGAGAGTCTGGAGGAAAATCATGCAAAGTTGTCTGTACAGGTCATGCAGTACATGGAGCTGGAGGAGAAAGCAAAGGTGAGGTGGTTCTCATTTATTTGACAAACTGTAATGTTTCCATTCTTGTTTGCTGCCCTGTGTTCCTGAAAACAACCCGATAGACTGGTTTCATTGAACCCATAGCACATGTATGACCCAAGGAAGAAATGATTACTTTTTGGATGAAGTTCAGATGCAGATCTTGGATTTTTTTTTTTTTAAAAAGGGTAGGAGATTGGGGTGAAGTGAATGTTTTGTTTGATTTTGAATGTTGTCGATTGCCTTCAAATGTCATGCAGTGTCTCAGTTGCCAAAACGTGAACAGAGTTTTCAGAGCAGGTCATTGGATGTGGAATAGCTTGCAAATCTGAAATATATCTTAAATGGTGAAATTTGTATGATTGTGAGTTCTATGGGACAAGATGTTAATTGGAAATGTTTTCATGTTGTGTAGTTCAGGCTGTGTTGAAGCCTCTTCTCTTGTTCCAAAGATGATAGTCATTCGTCAACCCCACTTAGAAAGAAAGAGCAAGGAAGTTCTGCGAAATTTGCATAAGACACCAGTTTGTCCCTAACTGTTGGTTTTGGGCACTGCAATTTAGGAAGGATTTCATGGCTTCAGGGAGGGTTTTATATAGAAACCTGCTCTGAAAACTCTGTTCAGATTGTGGCAGCTAAGATTATTCGAGAAAATGGATCCAGGGTGAGGGACATCCATAGCGTGGTCAGATTTGAGAGGAGAGAAGATTAAGTGGAGATTTAATCGAGAGTCATGGACGGGGTGGATAGAAAGCAGCTGTTCCCCTTAGCGGAAGGGTCAATAACAAAGGGGGCATAATTTCAAGGTGAAGGGCAGGAGGTTTCAAGGGGTTTTGAGAAAAACATTTTTCACCCAGAGGGTGGTAGGAGTATGGGATGCACTGCCTCAGAGGATAGTTGATTGATTGATTTATTATCACGTGTATTGAAATACAGTGAAAAGCTTTATTTATGAGTGGTACAGGCAGATCACGGTAAGCAAGGATGTACAGATCAGAAAGACTTAGACAGAGGCATACAGGTTACATTGCACTGGACGTACGCTAGGCGAGATCATTGTTAGCACGATCAGCATTATTTGAGGCGAGAGAGTCCATTCATCAGTCTGATAATGGCTGGGAAGAAGCTGTTCCTGAACCTGCTGGTGCGTGTGTTCAGGATTCTGTATCTTCTGCCTGATGGAAGAGGTTGTAGGAGGTCATTATTGTGGTGCAATGATGAGATGATGAAAGTTGATGATGAAATTTGATGATGTTGGCCGCCTTTCCTCGCTATGGAGTCCATGGATGGGAGGTTGGCTTCCGTGATGGTCTGGGCTGTGCACACCACCTTCTGTAGTTTCTTACGGTCCTGGGCAGAGCAGTTGCCATACCAGGCCGTTATGCACCCGCACAATTATGCTTTCTATGGTGCATCTGTAGAAGTTGGTAAGGGAATTATGGACATGCCCAATTTCCTGAGTCCCCTGAGGAAGAAGAGGCATTGTTGTGCCTTCCTGACTGTCACATCTATGTGGGAAGTCCAGGACGGGTTGTAGGTTATTATCACTCTGAGGGACTTGGTGCTATCCATCCTCTCAACCTTAGTTCCGTTGATGTAGATGGGGGTGTGTCCTCCTCCTTTCTTTCTGAAGTCGATGATCAGTTCTTTAGTTTTGCCGATGTTGAGAGACAGATTGTTTTCATTGCACCATGTCACCAAGCCCTCTATCTCCCTTCAGTATTTTGACTCGTCATTGTTAGATATCTGTCCCACTGCGGTGGTGTCGTCAGCGAACTTGTAGATGGTGTTGGTTCGGAATTTGGCAACACAGTCGTAGGTGTACAGGGAGTACAGTAGGGGGCTGAGGACGCATCCAGTGTTGAGTGGAATTATGGAGGAGGTGCAGTTACCTATCCTCACTGATTGCGGCCTATGGATCAGAAAGCTGAGGATCCAGTTGCAGAGGGCAGAGCCAAGACCTAGTCATCGAATTTTGAGATCAGTCTGATTATGATGTTGAAGGTGGAGCCTCATAACCTTTTAAAAAGTACTTGGATGAGAACTTGCAGTGTCATAAATTTCAAAGCTATGTGCCGATTTCAGGTGAGTGGGACTGGTGTAGATTTAAAGTAGTTTACACCAGTGCCAAAGGGTCTCCCCTCTGTTATTGGATTCTAATGAGGTGCTCAAAATTATGAGGGGCCTGGACAAAGAGGAAATGGAGAAACAGGGGGAGTTTGGACTGGAGGGATCGAGTTTTCAGGAGAGGCTGGGTGGGCTGGGACTATTTTCCCTGGAGCACAGGAGGCTGAGGGGTTGACCTTATAGAGGTTTGTAAAATCATGAGGAGCATGGATAGGATGAATAGCCAAGGTCTTTTTCCCCCAGGGTAGGGTAGTCCAAAACTAGAGGGTATAGGTTTAACGTGAGAGGGGAACGATTTAAAAGGGAAGGGCAACTTTTTCACGCAGAGGGTGGGTGTGTGTATGGAACGAGCTGCCAGAAGAAGTGGTAGAGGTGGATTAGAATTACAACATTTGAAAGATATTTGGACAGGTACATGAATAGGAAAGGTTTAGAATGATGTGGGCCACACGCAGGCAAATGGGACTAGGATACCTGGTCGGCATGGATAAGTTGGGCCGAAGGGTCTGTTTCCATGCTGTATGACTGTAATTCACACAGAAACTGGTTAGGATCTGAGGCGCTCTGCCTGAGAGTATGGTGGAGGCTGCTTCAGTGTTGGATTCCAAGGGACTTGGCTCGTGAGCCACACAGAGAAAATGTGCAGGGGTTCTAGGACAGAGAATGGGAATTGCTCAGCTGTTCTTACAGAGAGCCAGCACAGACAGAACGGGCCAAATGGCCTCCTTCAGTGCTGTTTGGAGTTGGCTTTACAGAACAGGACTTTGAGAGGACTAGGGGCTCTTCATACTTTCTAATCAACCCGTTCTGAGACATGATTGAACACCTCTGGAACAGGCGGGACTTGAACCTGGATCTCCTAACTCAGAGATAGGGACATTACCACTCGACCACAAGAGCCCCTGAACAGGTTTTGACTTTTAAAAAAAAATGTAATCTATTTTTCCTCTCCAACCTGCTCAGAGATGTTATTCCACACCTCTGGGACAAGTGGCTCTTGAGCCTTGGTCTCCCAGTCCAGGGATAGGGACACTACCTCTACACCATAGCAGCCCTACAAGGTTGTCCTTAATCATCTGGCCTGACTAACTGCACTTGGTATCCCCATGTTCAGGAGGAGATCTCTGATGCCAAGGATAGGACTAAAAGTCAGATTGATCGCCTGATCCAGTTCCTGCAGAATGAGAAGGAGCGGCTGATGATTGACATGCAGCACGTTGGGAATGACCACCTGGATTCCATCCACGGCCTCCAGGCAGAGGCCACCCACAGGCTGGAGCACTGTGAGAACACCATGCAATCAGTTCGGGAAGCATTCAGGCTTCAGGACAACATCGAGTTTGTCAAAGTATGACATTTCTGAGTCGATCCCTGATTGGATTTTCTGCTCCAGTTCCACCCTGTTGTCCACCTGTCCATTCGTCCCTCCTGCCTCTCCACTTGGCTATGCCTGCCCATTTTTCTTGCTCTGTATGTGAGGGTCTCATGTGGATTTGTCTCGCCTACCATTGTGTTTCTTCTGTCGGAATGTTTCTGCTACCTTCCCCACCCATCCCTCTCTCTCTCTCTCTCTCCCCCCGCTCCCCTCTGTGAATGTGGCTGTGTGTGTGTGTGTGTGTGTGTGTGTGTGTGTGTGTGTGTGTGTGT